TTTAATTATAAAAGTATATAAAAGTTTAAGATAAACTATCAAATAATGGTTATGTAAAAAAAGAGAATGCTTTCATTTATGAAAGCAGTCTCTTTTTTTAGATAACCATTATTTATGTTTCCAGCTATTTTTTAGTTTAAACTATCAAATAGCTGGAAACATAAATGAAAGCAGTCTTCAAAACCCAACTAGTAATATTTGGTGTTGTTTTCTTCAAATTATGTAATGTTAAAAACATACTAAAACATATATCAAGCTTTTTAGTTTTACTTTCACTTAAAAATTGCATTGCGGCAACATTTCCTTAAGATTTAATAAGTAGTACATAATTCCATTTGATCCAGTTTTTATTATCTTATATAGTTTTAAAATTTACATATACCAATAAATCGGCGTAGCTGAGTGGTTAGCATGCAAGGTTTTAAGGTAGGGGGTCCAGTTTTGATTCCTACTATCAGCTCTTTTTTTTAAATTTAATCTTTTTTGATTTTTCTAAAATACGAAGTAAAACGCTTAAAAAAGAAAGTTGCTTTGTTTTGCATTTTAAATTACAAATATTTTTTTAAAAAAGCAAGCCGATAATTTGATCTTGTCACGCGGTGACCTTCACTTTTTTTTAAACAATAAAGGGGTTTAAAAAATATGTTTTTATTAAGAACATAATTCAAAATTCTAACTTTATATTTGAAATAACTAATTTTATTAAAATTATAATTTTTAAAAGTAATAAAAAGTTAAAAATACATAATATTAAGGTAATATGGAAATTTATTGTTTTACAGCTATTTTACCACACCCCCGTTCATTCTAAAACAAGTGCGCAGCAATGAAAGAACTTAGATAACTATCAAAATAGTATTGTACTCTGTACAATATTGGAAAGACACAGTTGCTTTTAACTGATAAGACACAAGACATTGTAGATATGATGTATAAATGTACATGCTGCAGATATGATACACAGATGTACACGCCGTTAGTTTTTTATATTTCCTATATTGCTTTAATAAATTTCTGATATATCATTGAATCTTCTATCATCATTATCATAAATGAAATGATTGAATATGTTAAAAAAAAGGCCGACAAAGGAGGGAGTATTTGTATTTTAGACAAAACTGACTATGAAGAGAAGATCTTTCTACTTTATCAGATAAAAATACATATAAACTACTCTCAAAAGATCCAACAAAAAGTATAGCGAGAGATGTTAACAATCTTATTGACTAAATGTTTCTTCATCATATGATTGATAAAAAAAACATCAGAGTTTCTACGACCAAAAACACCCCTTCGTACAACCCCTGTTTTATGGCCTTCCCAAGATTCATAAGATAGGCATTCCCTTAAGACCAATTATTTCTGGTTGTGATGGACCAATCGATAACTTATGGTTTTTATCACAGAATTTATTCAGCCAGTTGCTGAACAATTACCAGCATACTTTAAAGAAACAACACATTTCCTTAAACTCCTTTAATCTCATGTACTAGAAACCAACAATTATATTCTTGTTACGGCTGATGCTATATCTTTGTATACAAACATTCCTCATCGCGAAGGTATTGACGCCATGAAATTTTATTTAAAGAGAGCACCGCCATTTAAGACCCATAAAACGCCCACCTATTACTTTTATTGACGTTATATTAGAAACCATCCTAATCCACAGCAACTTTCAATTTTCGAGTGATCATTTTTTACAATTAACAGGTACTACCATGGGGACACGTATGGCCCTGCCCCATGCTAATTTATTTATGGGAAGAATTGATGAGAAAATAATTGACCAATTTTCAATGTGGATTTCTTTTTATAAACGTTTTATAGATGATATACTTTTTATTTTTCATGGGCCTCCGGAGATACTAACACAAGTTTTCATCCACCCAATGATCAAATTTACTTTCAATAATTCTACCACTTTTATTCATTTCATGGACTTAACAATTATCAAAAAACTAGATGGACAGTTAGAAACAACAATATACAAAAAGGCAACTGATACAACAGCATTATTGCATTATAATTCATTCCATCCCCCTCATCAAAAAATCAATTTAATATATAGCCAAGCGTTAAGATACAATAAGATTATATCGAACAATTACAACCTAATAAAAGAGCTACAACAATTAGCACAAATTTTTGTTATACGAGGCTACCCTATTCAATCTATTAACAAAGGTTTTAAAAAAGCACTATGACATACACAACACAAACTTATCAAAAACAAATATAAAGAAGAAAGAGAAAAAGAGAGAATTTTACTGGTTACAACATTTAGAAAAGTTGGAAAACTCATAAATAAAATAGTAAAAAAGCACTGGAATATTGTTGATACTGAACTTAAAAATATATGGCCAACTCCACCTATTGCGAGTTTCAAAAACATTAAATCGATCAAGAAACTTCTAATCCAGACGGCGCATAAATAAAAAATCTATTTTTTTTAACTAAGTTACAATTCCTAAGTGTTACTATTTGCATATTATTATTGGTTTACCTTATATAAATTTTCTAGTTTTATTTATATTTTATTAGTTTTAAAAAAAAAATTTTTATCGTGCGTTTGTTATGGTCTCAAAATTACATATAATTTGGACCGTAGAGAAACCTTTACTTTTTGGAAATTTCGATTCAGAAATGGTCTCAAAGTTACTTGTAATTTGGACCGCAGAGAAAACTTAACTTTGTGGATATTTTGATTTAGAAATGGTCTCAAAGTTATTAACAATATTTTTTTCCCGCTTCGTACATCGTTTTTATATCACGACTTATATCACTGTTATATCACCCAAAACAAATTTTTAACCACTCATTCATTTTAAATTTATCTGGCTTTGTTATAGTATTTAGCTTGCCTTATTGCAATATTCATTAATATATTATCTATCTGCTGATTTTCATATTATTAATGTTTATTATGAATTTTTATGTTATATTATCTTGCATTTATTACTCAGCTTTATTTTAATTTTTATATGCACAATTTTCATCTTTTATTATTATTCAAAAAATTTTTATATATCCTTCATTAAATGTTTACATTTATGCCGGTGATATTTTTAAAGTTTTTGTGGGACAAAATTTTAATAGTATGTATTGTTTAGTTTTTTAATCTGTTTTAAAGTTTCTAAAGTTTAATTTTTTCATGTTTAACTTAATGAAACATGTTCTATTTTATAGGTGATTTATTTAAATTGTATCATCACAGGATGTTAATTTTATTGAAGCTAAAGTTGACCTTAATTAGTATTTTTATAATTTGTTAATCTACTAATTGTTAACTGACGATGCAGATGTAGTTAGTATATTTTTTGTAAATAAAACTTTTTTCAAGTATTTTTTTATGTTATTATGTATTAATAAATTGATTTGCAGTAAATAAACCTGATGTATTTTTTCCTTTATTTAATTCGATTATTTTTTTTAGATTAACCAGATGACATGTTTGTTCAATGTAGTCATAAAATTGAAAACATTTATGTTTTGTTAATTTGTTAATAAATATGTAAATAAAATTATATTTTTTTTACACAGCTATTTAGCATTTTTTAAAAACCACTATTCGAAATGATTTGTTTTTTATCTTTTGTATAAACATTTGTATTTTATGTGAACGAAAGCCTATGCAAATAACTAACCAGTAAACTTCAAATTATTTATATCAAATATCAAATTAATGATAAATTGTAAATATATTTGTATTATAAATTATATTAATATCAAATTAATTATATCAAATTTTACAGATTTACTTTTACTTGAAAACTTCATTTTGACAATATATCTTTAATTTTGATTTATAACAATTATATGCTATAAATGTTTTATAAAGTTTAATAAAGTCTTTGGTCTATAAACAGTTTTAAAAGAAGATAAAGCAGGCTAAAGTGGTTGAAGTGATTCGTGTGGCTTAAAATCCTTTTGCTAAAAATATTTTTTTTCAAGTTTTTTTCTAATTTTCTAGAATAAAAAATAAAACATTTAAAAAATACTATGGATATTATATGCATAACATATATAAAAACATTATATACTATAACAAATGAAAGGGAGAGAACTTTTTAAAAAGCTTTTTAAAACTTCTAAAAACATGAAAACACCATTATAAATTTTTTGCACATATGTTATGATAGAGATAAAGATAAATTAATTATAAGCACGTAAAGTTTATGTGCTTATAATTAATTTATTGTTTATGATAAACAACTTACATTGTTAATGTGCTTAAGTAATTAACTAGCGCGTTTAACATGCATTAAAGGGACAACTTTCTTTCTTATAGAAAAAAGATTTTATATGCCAACTTTAATCTTCTTCAAAATTAAAGAAGCAAGAGACCTAATAAGCTGCGGATGGTCTTAAAAAAATATTAATAGAAACTAATTTAAAAAAATAATAATCAATCCCCTTCTCGCTTTTTTTGTTCTTTATTTTTGTAGAAGTTATAAAGAACTAAACATTAATCGTTAACTAAAAAACAAAGTTTTTTTATATTTTGCTCTTTTTTAAAACTTATTGAAATAAAGCAAAATTATTAAAATGTTTGGAGTGGAATAGACTTATAATGACCAATATATGGGTTATGATAAGCCCACTATTCCACATATCTAAGTCATCTCAATCTTTTTTTAATTTTTCAAACCGATGGTAATTAATTAAGACATTTCAAGCGACTATTCTAAATATTATTTAGACAGCTACTAATATCTAATTAGTTGATAAATATCGATTCGCACAACGGCTACCAAAATGTTTAAAGATTTTTAAAGTTAATCAAACTTTTTTTTTCAAAGCTTTAAAAAATAAACAAAAAGTATAGTTTATGTATATAGATATAATTATTTTTCTACCGCCAACTAAAAAATATTGAAGAAAGGATTAAGTATAGAAAAGGTTGACATGGAATTTAAGGAGCATGGAGCATTTAATCTAATAGAAAATATCTTTAATATATGAACCAAAACTAAAATATAAAAAAATAAAAAACAAACCTTATTTATAATAGCTTGTTGATTTTTATGTCTTTCACGCAAATCTGAAATTTCTCTCCACAGAAGGTTATTCTCTCTATAACAGAAAGTATTGCTCTTATATAAAAAAAAAACCTTGGTAGCATACCTCATATCCTGCTTCCATTATTTGATATGCACTAATTAATCTAGTTGTTCAATTATAAAATTATATTTTTACCGTACAGCTGTTTTAAATTAAATTATATACTCATGTTTTTAATTGAATATATATCTTTATTAATTACATTTAATTATGTTATTTATGCAATTAGAGGTGAATCATGACCAGTGGAGGCCCTTAGCCTAAGAGTCTGGAGGCCCCAAATCACTTTCTGCTAATCTTTATAAATTTTATCTTAAAATGTAATACAAGTACTATTAAACAATGTTTAAGAAATTACACAACACGATCAGCCCTTTTTCGAACCACTCACTAGCTTGGTCCCTCCCACTAGTTTGGGCCCCCTATCTTTGCTTAGTCAGCGTACCTTATAATATACCATAAAAAATATAATTTTTTAAAAAAGTTTAATCATATAAATAGTCATTTACATTTTTAAATTAAGTGAAGAGTTTGAGAAGCAAATAGTTAGCGAAATCAATTACTCAGAGATTACAGAAACAGAACAAGAATTAGTATAAAGGTTGAGACTTAAAAAGATGGAATTGAAGCAAAAGGGCTTGAGATAAACATGAATAAGACAAAAGTTATGCATTGTAAAGTCAAGAATAAGAAAGCCGAAAATACTGGGAAGTGGCGCTGTGGAGTGTGTAGGTTTCATACAATTGGATCAGCTGGTGGAGCAGAAGAAGCATCTAGGGCAAGAGTAAGGTCTGCATGGCCAAGTTCCAAGAATTATCTCCACTTTTAACAGCAAGAGGTGCTTCATTAATGATTAAAGGAAAGTTCTACAGCACATATGCCCAGATGTTATGATGTATGGCAGTGAAACAAGGGCAATGAAGGTTGATGATGTCCAGCTTTTGGAAAGAACAGAAAAGATGATGATTAGATGGATATGTGGTGTAACTTTAAAAAATATTAAAAGCAGTGATGATTTAATAAAAAGATTAGGCATTGTGAGTAAAACTTATTGGGTGCGTCAAGGAACATTTAAGTGATTTGGGCATGTAAAGTGTAAAGATGCAGATGATTGACTATCAGCATGTAAAGAGTTGGAAGTTTCAGAAGAAAAAGCTAGAGGTAGAAGCAGAAAAACTTGGTATAAATGTTTTTCAGATAATTTGAAAAAGCTACATTTAAGGAAAGAAGATGTTCAGTTATACCCTTGAACTTCAAAGTTGAAGTTCGGAGTTAGTTGATGTTTATGTTGCTTGATTTGACGTTGCTTTATTACAATTTGAGCGCCCTACTTTATTTTTTATTCCCTCATGTAAGTTACAACAAACTATTTAAACTGCTAAAAAAATTTCTCTCATCAATCTGTCAAACAACTCACAATCCGTGGAAAGAACTGTAAAACTTTCATATGAAGCTTTGAAAAAAAGTTTATCGACGGGTGAAGAGGCATATTTGCATTTTGGTTAAAAACTAGGGCAGAATAGAAACCAAGAGAAATGCGACCATTGCATACTTTTTTCAAAGTAATTTTATTATCTTTTATGTGATAAGAATATATTGAAAATGACATTTTTTTAAAATACAGTTTGTTGTTTCTTCCAATATAAGAAAAACAAAAAAGTTTTTGTATTGCAGTAATAAATACTAAAAATTAGAAAAACCATACACAGGGCGCAAAGGCGTGAGATAAAAAAGGATTATAACTTTTTTGAGAAAAGAAACAAATAGTCGAAAACTTCGAAGTGATTTCATAAAACTACCTTACGTCCAAATTAGCTAATTTTTTTGGAACAGTGATTATATATAAATCACAAAGTGAGCTAATGTGTTCAGAAAAAAAAGTATGTTTAGAAAGTGGATTATTGTGCATTAATTCCTGACACACTAACCTTCTGTTAACAATGTTTAGCAATTATGATTGTGGGTGCATTCACTAACGATGGTTGTGCTGGCCTTCACTTTTACTACTAAGTGAGACAAATTTAAATAACTCATTTTGTAGAACATGTGTTAAATTGGTATTGAATTAGAAAGTTCAAATCATGGCATAGTCCAAGAAAATGCAATATATATTTTCCTCTTTTGGATAGTTAAACTACTCCATTAAAACCTTATCATAAACTGTTGCGTAAATGTGGAAGATGAAACTTCTAAACAGAACCCAACTCCACTATTTTATAATTAAACTTTTTTTAATAAAATATTTTATTTTTAAAATTTGTATAAAATTTTGCTTCTTTCGAGACACTGGTTGACATACTTTGAAAGAAAATATTTTTTGATAATATAAGAGACCCATTAATGTTTAAAGGGCTTACACTTCCCCTAAAAAAGAATTTCTATAAAGATTTGTAAAAGTGCTACTTTAAAATATAGAACACATGTATACATCAGAGATGTATACATGTGTGTATGTGTGTTTGTGCGTGTGTGCATGTGTTTACTGGATTTGATTTTTGTTAAATTTCAACAAAAAGTGTAAATAAATAATTTTGTATAAAAATAAATTTAACTACAATAGCAGCAAATAACAAAGTTACTTTATGTAACTGATATTTGACAACAGAACTTAGTGGAATGCAGCTTATGATTTCAAGATAGAATATTAGTAAACTTTTAAACTTATTAATAATTTTATTATTTCAAGAATATTATTTGCTGATAAAGTGGAGTATAAAAGTAAAGATCCCTAGAGAATTATTTGCACTTATAAAAACCAAGACTTCATCCTTAAAAATCAGGTGTAAACTGTATAGAAAATGCTCCCAGTGTTTGAAAAGAATGGACAGGAGTGTATGGAAAGAATGGATTAAAATGTAGGGAAAGAATGAATGAGAGTGAATGAAAAGATTGGATAAGAGTGTATGGAAAGTATGGATAAAATATATAGAAAGATTGGATAAGAGTGTATGGAAAGTATGGATAAAAATATATAGAAAGATTGGATAAGAGTGTATGGAAAGTATGGATAAAAGTATACGGAAAGATTAGATAAGAGTATATAGAAAGATTGGATAAGAATGTATGGAAAAACGAATAAAAGTTAAAAAAAACACTGGATAAATGTTTATGGAATGAATGGATAGAAATCGGGTATACTGGTTGCTTTAGTCTTTAGGAAAATCAAGTTGTAAGCTCAAAAGTTGGGAATAGTTATCTTACCTGACTTTAAAATAAAATAATTATACTTTAAAACAAACATATTTTAAAATAATTATGCTCTAAAATAAATTTATTTTAAAATAAATATAGAATGCATATTTTAAACTATTTAAAAATTTTTATAAAACATCTCTATCTGGAATACTGACTCCTAATTTAAAATTGAGGTGGTGCAGCAATAGAGCATTTGCTTTTTAAACAAGATATAGAGTTTTAACCCTACAGTGTACCTGGTAAAACTATGCTCAAACTGTTTCTCAAAGCAGTGACCTTGTTTATCAAGGATGTTAATGTTAAGCCAGAGAGACTTAAATTTTACTTACGCCTTAACTATGCTAAACTTTTCTTCAACCAAGTCATTCTGCATTTTTAGACGTTCAATATCTTCAACAAATAAAGTCATTGATTTTGTTTCATCTTTAATATGAACCTAAACAACAGCAAAACTTAAAAATTAAAAAAGAGAGAAAGATTAAAAAAATAACCTTGTTGTCTCTTTAAAGAGATCCCAAACCTCTAAGACATATTGTGTTCATACTAAAAAGAATGATAAAAAAAAAGTGCTTGGACTAAATTTTTTTGATTAAAACAAAAGAATAAAGGCATACCAAGAAATACTAACTTTTTTATTTAAGTTGAAGCTTGCCTTCTCTGTTTTGTTAAAGGCCAAAAAGTCAGCACAATATGCACCGCAATCTACAGACTTGATATTTTATTCAAGCGGGTTTTATTCTTAAGAGTTTTAGTATATGACGTCATTGATTTTTTTGATTGTTACATAATCGATCTTTTACACAAACAAAAAAATCAATGACGTCATGTATTAAAACTCTTAGGAATAAAACCTGCTTGAATAAATTATCAAGTCTGTAGGTTGTGACATAAAATACGCTGACTTTTTGGCCTTCAACAAAACAAAGAAAGTGAGCTGTAAACTAAAATAAAAAGGTTAGTTTTTCTTGGCATGCATTTAATCTTTTGTTTAATTCAAAAAAATTTAGCCCAAACATTTTTTTTATTATTCTCTTTAATATGAACACAACATGTCTCGGGGGTTTGGGATCCCTTTAGGAAAACCAAATATATACAAAAACTGAAGCATCAAAATATTATCAATTGCCTAATAACTACAACTGCTGTCTTGATATTACAATTATTCACATAGTATAACATTTATAGAATAACATTAACAATAACTTTTATAGTATAATTGACTTATGCTTTTTCACACAAACTATAAATTTTATCTATATAGAAAATCTATAAATTTTATCTATATAGAAAAAAACACTGAAACTTAATATTTTTAAAATTATTTTCATTTTATTTTTATTTTTTTAGTCCCTGTGTAATTTGTGTTAATAAGGAATTAATTAGGAATAAAAATAAAAAGTTAACTATAGGAGATAATCCAATGATTTACAGTACTAGCACTCGTATCTAAAACTAATGTTTCTTGAAAGGATTGGCCAATATGTGATCGGTGGTCATCAGATAGTACAAAATGCACCTATAACTGGGTTGGTGAAGTTTGGATGTTACAAATGTTATAAACAACCACATCAAAAATGTTTGAAAAAAAGAATAAAATTAAGAACATATGCACAAACACTTCATCACAACTAAATTATAGTAACATGGCTATTATACTACACCTAGCAAATAAGACAAATTTGGTTGCCAGAATCATAACCACACTTTCTTCATAACACATATTTCTCCGCATAGCAGCCTTGTTGGTCAAGGTTTGTGTTTAGGAGTTATAGAGTTGAGAGGATTGTCACCACCGCTAAAAGTAGCCTCTTTGACTGTAGTGACCTTCATAGCCTTGGGAAAGTGAATTAAAAAACTAACTTTTTTTCAAACAATTTATCCAGCAAATCTAGCTGTTCAGAAAAAGAAATCACATGTAAAGATATCACACTATCCACTAAAAACCTTACATACAGCTGTCTTTAAGAAGATCTCATGCATCAGAAATATTTTGCCAATTTTAGATACAAAAAAAAGTAACAAACAATTCATGTTTGGTTCCTTGTTGGCATTGCAAAAACAAGTTTATAAGAAGTTATTTAAACTTAAATGTACTTGTAATTTATATTTCCAGAAGAAGCAATAATAATTTAAATTTTGTTTTTAGATGAAGTATTATATAAAAAAAGGTAAAACAGAAAAAACTAAAACAGTTAACAAAATTTATTTAGGTGAGAATGTAGAGTCCTTGATGGTTTCTGAAAATAAAGGAATTTCATTAATGCTAGACTTTAACTTTTTTTTTTTTTTTTGCAAACTCACCTCCCAAAGGCCGAGAAGGCCACTACAGACGAGGAGGCTACTTATTGTGGTTATAACCCTCTCTCAACTCTATTACCCTTGAAATACAAATCATGATTGACAAGGCTGCTACGCGGAGAAACAAGCTGAGCGTGGTACTACCAGGGATGTGGAGGAGATCAAACTTAGAACCTCTTGCTTACCACTACATCACTACCTAAATATGGTCAAGACTGCATTTTAACTATATAGAAATGCTGCAATTGCAAAACAATATAACCTCAACCAAACTTTTGTAATACCCAAAACTTTTGTGATATCCAAACAACATGATTTTTACTGATAATACTGCAAGCATACCACTGCAAAACTTATGTGACCATACAGCACTAAGAGTTTGTCAAGTTCAAAATAGTGTTTTATATATGATAGAAAAATGTGACATGATCATTATAAAGTATGTTTATATATATATATATATATATATATATATATATATAAAGCGCATATATATATATATATATATATATATATATATATATATATATATATATATATATATATATATATATATATATATATATATATATATATATATATATATATATATATATATATATATATATATATATATATATACATTATGTGTATATATATATACACACATTATGTGTATGTGTGTATATAGACACACACACACACACACACACACACACACACACACACACACACACACACAGAAATGTCTTTGATAGACCTGGCAACTTAAAAAAAGAAGAATCATTGTTTCTTGCCTGGTTTACTTCAGTAAACAAGGCAAGTTAGAAACTATCTTTCAGATTACAATCTATATTACAGAAACAATAACTGTTATTTAGAGAAATAGAAAATCTTTATCTACTTGATACTAATAACCTGACACTAGTATCTACTTGACACTATTAAAGTTTAATTTTGAAAAAGAAACAATTTATTGATAAGTGATTAGAGAAACTACTTTGAAAGATTAACGGAATAAACAAAGATTTGCACATATATCAAGTGGATTAGAAATAAATATTGATAAGTTTCACATACATTGTCTGTATTTAAAATTAAAATAATTTTGGCACAAAAAACACTATTTTGTTCCACCGTGCGTATGATGGATTTAAACCTCAAACTTGTGGATTGCGAACCGAGTGTTTTACCGCAAATCTACTATCAGATTCAATCATTTAATGCAAACAATTAATATATAAAAATCCACTTTTCTTCAAAACAAAACTTACATACCAAACCTTCTCGAAACAATTGATTTGTAACCGAATAAAATAAAAACAAAAATCTAGTTGATCAAAAATCTTTCTTTGTTTTACTTATGAAATGGATAAAATATAAAGACTTGGATAAAAGCATTCAAAAAATTCAATGTAAAATCTAAAAATAGCTAAACTCCTTCCTATATATCCAAATAAAACTCTGTTTTTTATCCAGTATTATTTATTATTTACATCAATGAACTTCTCGATATTATATCAATGAACTTTCTGATAATCTTTCTGATTCTACCCAAATATGTACACTGATGTTATCAACAACATCAGATCTAAAATCCTTTAGGACATTACTTGACATTTTTGACAATTAATCAACAAAATCTGCATCAAAAAATGGCACCATCTACTGTTGACATTTTCTGCACTACATACACTGTTGTTTAAATATATTGCAGCTTATGCTGATACTACTATCAGGGATACAAAATTGAAGTCCAGAATTCTCTACATATTCTTGAGGTCCTGGTAAGTAATGTTTAAAACTCTATGTCATGTGATGATGTCATTAGAATGTTTAAAACTCCATGTCATGTGATTATGTGAATGAAAAGTATGCGTTTATAATTTAATTTGTAGATATTTTATTAACCATTATGCAAGTACTTTATTATCTATGCTTAAATGGATAAAACCTTTTATTTCAAATTGTAAAATTTAATAGTGATACAAATTTGACAGAATGTCACATGACAAATGCTTGCAGTTAAAATAATTTTTTTTTGTGTAAAAATAGCCTAACGACTAATTGTTATGAATGCATTATAAATTAGATATGCTGAACAACTTCTTGAAATGCAACTATCTAGACAATCCATATTAATATATATCTAGTCAAAATTAAAACACTAAAAGCATGTAATAATTTCAAGCATGTATTATCTTTTATAAATAATAGTCAATTATTTTTTAAGTGTAAGAGTGCACTTAACTATTTGTTTTTGTAACTGTAAATACTTTCTCACACTTTATTGCTAAACTAACGAACTAGACAAAAGCTAAAAAACCAGCTGAAAAAATGCTGGAAAAAGCAGATAAAAAGATATCACATTGAATAACAACAAACAATTAAAATTCTTTTGTCCAACAAATTCTTGTGAGAAAGGTTATAATAACAAAAAATATTTTAAATGTATGAGCAAATATGTACTCGACAAGTCTTATGAGAGACATCTACATAATGTATATCAAAGATGTTAGAACAAATTTTTAAAATTTATTTCAATTTTATTTAACTTATCAGTGATAACAACTGAAAATGCATCATAACTTTGATCTAATTTGTTTAATTTCTAAAGTCATAATTAAAATATCTTATGTAACAACCCATAAGGTTTTGTGGGATGTGTAATGTAGGATGTTATACAAATTATGTAAGTTTGGGAAGCATATAAAACAAGAAACAAATAATTTACAATGTTCACAATCACTTGCAACAAAACATTCTTACTTTATCTTTATATTTACCATTTGCTGACCTCCACCATTCTTTACCTGTAATGGCCAAAAATTACACATCAGACACAAATTATAAACATTATCACAGTACAGATAAAATTGTGAATGGTTTAAAAGTATGGTTTAAATGACAATTGTACCTCGCAAAAGTCAAAGTAACAAATTATGCGCCGATGAGATTTTATGTCCCTCAAAAGATTGCTAAAACAACCTTGTGTGAAACTGCCTAGAAAACATACTTCACAGAAAAATTAAAGCGTTTTGAATCTCAGCAAACTAATTTGCAAGTAATAAAAGACAAGTTTTTAAAGGTCTTAAATCAACTGATTTTGGTTCAAAGTTTTTCCTTCTAGGTTTAAATTTATTTTTTGAGAATATTTATTAATTGATTTATAAAAACTAAGGCTATAAAATTTTAGTCTATATAAAAAAGTCTTTTGCAATTGTTTAAAAACAATTTATTCTAAAAATTATTTTCTCTAGGTATTCAATTGGAAATCTATTCAAAAGTTTTCATAAGAGGCAGCATCTTATTTTGCATTCAAATTAGCAACCTTACCACTAAAAATATTACCACTAAAAAAATGATTGAAAGCTGTTTAGAAAAGTTTGGAATCAATAAATCTAGCATTTTAAGCTCTAAATACATTTTTAAATTTGTTATTTTTAAATAGAATCTCAAGAGTCTTGAGGTACACCACGAGAAATAAAGAATAGTGTGGACCTTTTAGGATAACTTTTATAAAGCGATTAGAAAGAAATGATTTCTCAAAAAAATTTCTTAGATACACCATATAGAGCAAGCTTATGGAGAAGTTGAAAAATTGAATGCTTAAAATATGTTAAGAGAAATAGCCCTTTGCCACAAAGAAAACCCTGAAGAAGTGATTTGCCACAAAGAAAACCCTATTGCCACAAAAAAAAAAACCCTGAAGAAGAAGTACAAGATGAAAGATTTATAGAGATACTACTTACAAGGAAAACAAAGAGAAACTGAACACAAATTCTGGGTCAGACACAAATGAAGTCAAGACACAAATGAAGGAGTATAGGTAAGTGATTAGGGTTGCCTGGAAAATAAGTCACAAAGTTAACTACATAAGTAAAAGATAGAAAAATACATAAGTTTTTAGCTTTAGTGCCAGCAGGGTATTTTTGCAGCCATAATTCTTAATCTTAATTTAATTTTTCAGACTTAATTCAAGTGTAAAAAACTATTAAAAATAATAATTGTAGAACTAGATTGTAATATTTTTGTCCCAATACAAGGAACCATAACTTCAAACTCAGAAGAGAATAGTTAAAAACTGCAATATTCGTCATCAATTCTTAGCTAATAGAGTCTAATCAATGAGAAACAAACTACCAGATTTTATCATCAAAAATAAAAGCTTGAACTTATTCAAAACTCACATTGATAAATATCTACAGCTATATGATTTGTGATTTATAATTTAATTCATTTACCTAGAATAACTAACAATGTATATGCTGTCAAAGTGAAATTAATTACTATTAATTTCACTTGTAGTTTTCGAACTACTACAGCTTTCTATTATATTATATTATGTTCAAATATAAATAAAATTTTTTAAATATTGTAATATATAAATATTTACTAAATATTGTACAAAATGTGATTTACATTAGGTAAATATCAAGTTAATAAGCAAATTAAGGTATCAGCACTATAGAAGAAATTAACAACAAAGATGTTGCTTTTTTAAATGGTGCTCATGCTATAATTACACACCAACTTTAGGCAAATTATCTTATTTAAAACTTAATTTTGAACTCATATTTTAAATTAAAACAAATAGTGTTTTGCAACCTGTTAAAAACCAACTTCTAAATTGATGATCCTAAATAGGGACTCCAGACCATATTTTACAGTTTAAATGTTAATGGATTAAATTTATAACTTTTTAAGTTAGTATCTCGAAAAAAAAACACCTGTACTATAGATAAAAGTACAGACTGCATTTTAACTTTAATCCTTAACTATTGAATGTAAATTCTTAAGCTGTAATAGAACAATTTTTCATCAGCAAATCGTCAAAATATTTTTGAAGGAGATTTGATATACAACTCTAAGGGCTCTTTGGCGGATGCAGTTTATATGATTGTTTAGTTTTCTGCTATGAACGCTGTAACTAAGGGATAAAATAAAAAAAGATGTATTAAATGTGTAACTTCTTTATTATGCTGATTTGCATAAAGTATTTACCTGCTTATCGAAAGTTTATTTTCAAACATTATCGCAAGAAGGTTTTCATATGCAGATGAAGCTACTTCCATATAACATTTGTCAACTATAAAAGTACTCTTTTTTTTATTAAAAAAAAAAAAAAAAACAGTATGAGAGCCAGATTACCTTTCATACTGTTTTTTTTTTCAATCTTGAAGAAATTTTTTACTCACAACTTAAATTTAGTCTTTTCTTGCACTAAAGAGAGTGTTAATATCATATTGCAAGATATTTATCTTGCAATATGCTAGGTAAAACAGAAATAGATCACTAATGAAGACAAATTCAAAACTTAAATTCAAAACTAGATTGACTTTTTTTTTTACTGTCAGTTTTCTTTCTCCAAGATGCATATAAATAAGCCCTTAATAAATTTCTGCTAAAACCATATGCATTAATATTTAACTTGTTTTCAAAAATAACTTGTTTTCAAAAATGCTACTAATATCCTTATGTAAATACAATTCATAGACTTCTGATAGGTTTGGTACTAATAGGTGTAATTATTTTTGTCGGTTTTTGGATGAATAATTAAAATATTCACATTTTTTAATTGATAAGAGAATTTTAAAACAGGGTTGTTTAAGTCATAGCAAACGAAATCAGCAATATTATCATTTTTTAACAACTTTAGTCAATATATCAGATTTTTGTTGGGTCTTTATAATTTTTAAAACAATTAATTACTTTATCAATGAAGATATACTACTTATCAACTTTTTTTGTTAAAATGAAAAAGATAAAGAAATTTAAAATATTTTATTTATCTCAATACTTAAATAAACTGAGTATCAAGATACGGACAAGTTATCAAGTTATACAACTTTAATTTAATTATTTTGCTTTGACAATTTCTTTTAGTAAACATTTAATTATCTGTAAAACACAAATTTTTGGAAAATATAAATAAATTTAGTACAATTAAGAATATGTCATGCATTTGAAAATATTTTATTTGATATTTAATGAAAAGCTTTATTTAATAAAAACTTATTTATTAAAAAAATTAAAACATCAAATTTTATGTTTTTGTAAAAAAAGCAACTTTTAATCAAATAAAATCCTAAAATAAGTGCTTTGTTGAATTAGTTCTTTTAATCGTTCACACTCAAACAATTCCTTATGGAATGTTGATATTTTCAATGATTAATTTTGTTACGTTTTTGTTGCATTTGCCATTAACAAGACAAATAAACTTTTGCATATAGTTCATAAAAAAATACTTTAAATAGTACCTTCTCACTTTTTTAAGTAAATAGGTAATATTTCATTTTCTCTTACCTGTAAAAACTCTAGATATTAAAAAACTAAAATTCTTTCTGAAGTCCAAGATTTTAAATCTCTAAGTCCTCCAACCTTAAAAGCTCCTCCTCCAAAACCTCCAACCTTAAAAGTCTAGAATCTTATTTCACATCTTGTATTTCATATCTTCTATGAAGTGTTAGATCACCTTTATCAATTTCAGGTCCTGACTATGTCTACTTCTCTCATTTTGTTTAGGTATAGGTGATTTATGGATAAATTAGAAGAGTTGCAGTTTTTGTATAACTATGAAATGTTTCAATTACCAAATTACTGATGTCTCAAATTGTGTTTTTTTATTTTCAAATTCATTTTTTAAAACAAACTTGTAGTCTAATAAAACATGCTTGCTCACAACTCATAAACTTCTTCAAAAAAAGTTTAGGTCAGGGTTAGGTTTATACCACCAATAGATGATAAAAACTATTTAAATCGACAAAATGTCAGTATTAAAAACTAAGAATTAAAATTCTCAATAAATTGATAATAAACATAAGACCAATTGTTATGAAAAAAATGTTAAACAAACACAAGGTAAATAAAAAAATACAAGGTAAACAGTTTAGTCATAGTGCTTGCATCACATCTAAATTTGTGGTTCAAAGTTAAAAAGTTGAGAAAGAAGTAAAACAATTGATATAAAAAAAAGGGTATCCTTGATATAGAAATATTATTTTATTAATTACCATTATAAAACTTAAACTTAAAAAAAAAAAATAATAAATAAATAAAAATCAATCAACTATTTAACTGCTTGATTAAAATAAGTTCATTAAAACAACATGAAAGAAAATAAGCATATCTAATTGTATTTTTTATTTAACTATGATGCAATAATCAGAGTTTTATCAAATATTCAAAAATTTAGATTATCTGTTAACAAATTTATGAAACATTTTCTATGGTCAGTTCTTCTTTATTTAAATCCCTAAAATTTTCATAATTTAGTTTACTAATAAATAATTAAATTTATCATAAAATTATTATTTAATAAACAGGGCTAACAGGGCAAACAAATAAAAAAATATTTGAAAGACAAATAAAAATGCTACCTTTCTTTTTATTTTTGCTAAGTCATCTGGCACAGCCTTACTAAAGTGTGGGTGAAAGAATTCCCATTGATCTTTTTCATTCTTTAAACCTCCTATTTTTGGATCAATAATTTTGCGAAATCCATCTAGCAAAAACATTATTAAACAAAATTGAATTCAAAAAAAATATTATTTGCATCAAAAATTATTTATATTCATATAAAATAAATAAAGTAAAAAATTAATCGCTAACTCGCTGATACTTACACATATTGACTTGCCTAACAAAACTAGAGAAGTTATTGTGTTTATAGTATTTTGGCAGAATTTCCTTTGAAAATTCTGCTTGGTCATGAACTCTAAAAGTCTTTCCATTCTAAAAATAGTTATTTAATTTAAATAATAATTAAAGAAAAAAAAACAATTAAAAAAGGAGTTTAAAAAAAAAACACAGGTAAAAATAAATAGATCTATAAAATAAAAAAACCAAACCTGGTGCCATGAAATCATATGATCAAATTGTGGATCTTCAACAATTCTCCATAGTTTTAGTAAAAAAGCTGGTATAGCTGGTTGGCCTTGAGGCACTGAACCATCATTTTTTAAAGATACATGCTCTTCATCCATATTCAGACTTAGACTTTATAAAAACTTTAAAAAACATTTAATACTACAAGTTTAAAAATTAATACTTGTTAAAAAGAAATTCTAACTGATTAACTAAACATTGTACCCTATATATTTATAACAGTTTTTAAATTTAAAATTCAACTTTACAAAAAAAAACTTTATTATAGAGTTTTAATGAATTAATATAAATACAATAGTGGTTATAATTTAATTTAATATAGTTAGACAAGTAATAAGTTGAAACATGCAAAGTTTTATTAGGTATATAAAAAAAATTAACTCGGTTATCAGCCAATATTAAAGTAAATTTATTCGTACAACTTTAAATTTATTAATGTAGCTTCATATTAAAATACTTTAGAAATTAACTGAGTACTTTAGAAAGACTCAGTTAGTTTGTGAAAATTTATTATTAGTATTACTAACAGAAATCAACTAAAACTTAATAACTAACTAAATTTAGACGTAACTTACACATATAGAATAATTAGTTTTTACAGGCATAATTTAAAACGGTGATTTGTCTGCCTGAGATTTAAAAATCAAATAAAGTTTTCTTTAAACATATGTATATGTAGTTAATGAAAAATTTATTTCTATATACAATACATATATTTTAAACCATTTAATATAGATTTGTTACAAAATTAATCTCCATATATAGTACCTATTGAAAAAATATGACATTTTAAAACAATATGCTCGAAAAAAATTGTTTTCGCCAATACTTATACATAATTTTTACAAGACCAAAAAATTACCGGTATCTTATTTACGTCCGTTTTGCTCTGAAATGTGCTCAATATCTAGGCTCAGAGATAAATTTAAAACAATCATTATTACAACCATGTCAAGCAGTAAATTCTATTTGAGTGACAACAATTTTGCTGGTAAGGTTAATTTTTAATACATTAATCTTTTATTATCTTATTCAGTTCATATTTATTAAAAAAATAAACATATCTGATTCGCCCGACAAGATTTTTCTTAACCCGAGTCTAAATAGAGTGAGTAGTTTTCCGCTGCAGGCTTGGGTTGGTGGGTAAATGTATCCACGCTATAAGTTGTTTTTCTATTAAGTTTTTTTGAAATTCTTATCAAATATTCTTTGTAACAAAATAAAATTTCTATGACATTAAGTTGTATTTACTGCTGTTTCTAATTTCATTGACATTAATTTAACAAGCTTTCAAATATTAAAGCGACGGAGCTTATATCGTCGCTGCAAACAGAGGCGATTCTACGTAAAAAATGAAGGGGGTGAATCCTCAAAAAGTATCGACTGACTTCTTTAAATGAAAAAAAAAAAAAGTTCTCAAAGCGAAAATTTACCCGACTGAAATGTGTCAAACATCCGACTAGCGGACTAAATTTGTAAAAAACCGACTATAACTTGAAAATCATAATATTTTTTTTTTATTTTTTATTTTTTTGGGGGAATAGGGTTGTTACACCCCACCCACCCACCCACACACACACAACCGTAAAATTGCCTCTGGCTGCAAAGCAAAACTATTTTAAGTCCATTTTTGGCAAAATTGACTTTTTTTGTTTAAAATACTCCTAAGGTGCACAAAAGTCATCTTTCAAAGTATGGAACCAAAACTAATTTAACTTTTGCCACTATGAGTAAAATTCAAAAATCTTCTGTTCAAAAAAAATAATTAAGAGACATCGTTGCTACAAAACAAAACTATCCTAAGTCCATTTTTTATGAAATAAAAACTTTAAATGGCTTTTTCTCAGAACAGCAAAAGTGGACTTAAAATCTATTTGCAGCGATAATATTTGCGAGATATATGCGAATATAATTTGAACATTCATTAAGTTAAATTTGTTGCCCTTCAATAGTAAAAATTTTACAATTGAAGATAATGTTTAAATAAAGATAAAAATTTAATAAAAATAAGGAAGCGGGAACTCAAAGAAGACTTAGATTTCTTGTTATGAGAACCACTAAAGTTAGACGCGTCAATAAAAGTTGATGTAAACTCCTACAAAATAGTTTCTTCTTAATAAAGATAATATTTAAAGTTTTCATTAAACTAACTTGAAATATGGTAGGCTCCACATTAGAATCATTTTTTTCTGCATCTTCTTTTCAGTATTTCACAATTTTCTTGTTGAATTTTTTATTTTTCTTTATAAGTTTATATTTTCTTCAACTATTGTAAAACACTTCTGGATATACACTATTGAAGTGATTAAAAGCAGGATGGATAGCGCACTGTTTGAAGAGTGGATACGGAAAACGGAGAAAAATTTACAAAAAAAAAAGAAGAAGAAAGTAGTGTTTAAAATATATTACTGCCCAGTACATCCGACAATTGATAATTCAAAATCTAGCTCATATGAGCTCATATTATTACCACCAAATACCACGTTAAAACGCCAACCAATGGATCAAGGAAACGCTCTTTGAAAGTTGATGATATTGCAGAGAGTAGTCGTAGCTATTAATAAAAGAAAAAATCTTCTTGTTTTTTCTTTTTATATTTTCGATTTTAGATGCAATGAAAGATCTTGCATAACTAAAAGAAAAATCTCCATCATCATTAATTAATTTATAAAAGCATGAATTTTGGAGGATCACCAGAAACCTGTTTGTTCGAATAAAGATGACAATCCCTTTAAAGAGTTTCAAAGTCAGACAGAAAAAGTTAATAATTTTCAACCAACAACAGTCTCAAATATATGTGATAGAGACGGTTTTTCATAGATATTCGAGATATTGGAAGTTCACAGTATCTTACATGTGAATTTTATGCAAATAGGAGGGGAAAGACGTTTGGAAAAAAAAAACTTTTTGGCATAAGGCCCATTTTAGAAATAGACCTAGACATTAGGAATCTACAAATACTAATAAGTAGGTAAGTATGTCAGAGTTCTTCACGAGAGTGATCTAACAAATAAACTCATGTAATGCAAACAGCTTTGTTTCAAAAGAAATCTAATAAACACGCATTGGCTGATTTTGTCAATCTAACTATCTAACATTTTCAACTATCTAACGCTTTAACAGATTTTATTCATTAGCAATTTTTATTGATCTGTCAAAAACCTTTGATACTGAAAATTGTAATATGAAAATTATAATATAAAATTTTTTTTAAAACTACAGAAGTGAAAAATAATTGACTTTGGGTACCAACAAACGAAGAATAAATTCTATGATGTAATTGAAAAAATACAATCTAAGACTCCATAATCTGCAGTATTCCTCAGCAAGTCATTTTAAGGCCACATAACTTTGTTTATTGATGATTCTAAATTTTGTTAACAACAAGATTTTTCTTTTTAAATTTATTAAGATCTCCGAAAAGACCTAACAGTCCTATAATAAAGTACCGCAGAAAAGCATTTAACTAGATAATTCACTTATATCTCTTATCTGGCCACACCTTGTATTGAATCTCGAAACTTATGGTTATGAGTTACTAAGTTATCTATTTCATTAAATGAAATAAAATTACAAAAGTTTTTTGTCTCGGCATTTTTTTTAAACAAACAAAGCATCTTTTTACTAGAATTTACTATCTACTGATGTCTCTAATGTAAATGTTAACTTTTTAAATTCTTTTAAAGTTAAACCTGACATCAATAATGTAACTATGCTAAAAAATGGTCAAATATGCTACAATTACATGTACCGAACTAATCGTTTATATATACTTGTACGTTTGATGTTCCCAATAAGCATCTAGATATCACGTTGCGATAGATGTTAAACTTATTTCAGATCGAAAACCATTCCACAAGTTTTTGACTCGCATGCTTTTTTCCGCAGTCTTACAAAAAATCTTTTTCAATTTGTAAGTGTTCTGAATAGTATTTACTGAGGATAAGAAAAAGATGTAGTTACATTTATGAATGACGTGAGTCCGTTTTTAAGTTTGACCATGTCATTACGTAAGAGGCTATAGCTCATGCCAGTTAAATTTAGTCTCAGTTACTTCTGCTAAGATAATACTGAGACTAAATTTAAGTCTAGTAAAGCTATTTTAGACCAGTCAAAAGCAGCTTTATTAGACTTGTGTAAAACATTTTCGATAAATCGTTGATCTTTTCTAAGCCTAGTTTAGTATACAATGCTACAATAATGAAAATTATGACGAATGTTAGAAATGAATAAAGTATGAAATGGCGAGCTATTGAGATTAAAAAATAATCTAACAAATAAACATGCAGGACCGCTGAGAGCCGTCACGCCGCCTGGGAAAGCAACCCTGATTGGCGCCTTATTTATCAAAATTTCCCTATATTATAGATAAAGCCTCTTTTTTTTATTGCACCTTTTTTTCATTTAGCGCCCTTTGGATGTCTGCCGCCCGAAACAAACTGTCCCTTTATCCCCCTCTCCCTCTCGGAGACTCTGCTTACATGAGAAAAAAAAGTCTAATTAAAGTCAATAAAGACGCCAATGTCTTTTTTTACGAGAGGATTTTCTAGATTAATTGAGATTTGCATTGATAAGTGTATAAACGAATTTTGCGTTTGTTGGTCCAAAGTGTATGCACTTACCTTACATTTTCTGAAATTAAAACTTTCCTTAGTTTTGCCCATTTGCTTTAATGTCCATATTGTTTTATATCGCTTTGCAGTTTATTGCATGATGATGATCAAAAAGTAATTTGTATAACTTAGTATCATCTGCAAATGCGGATTCAACAACTGAAACAAAAATCAAGAAAACCATTGATAATTATCAAGAGCAAATTTGGGCCTAGAACTCAACCCTGGGGGGCACTACTAGTTATTTCTATCCATTCTTAATATGTACCACTAATATTGAAACTCTGCAGCCAATATCTTAAATAACATTCTATCCAAATGTATAGTTCGCCATCTATTCCATGAGCTTTTAGTTTTAGAAATAGTAGACATTGCGGAAATGTGTCTAAAGTTTTCGGTAAATCAAGCTATATATTATCTATATTAATTTTAAATTCAAGACTAAAGTCCAAGCATCAATAGTTGATATTAAGTTTATTAGACCCCAATAATTTTTGATAGATCCATGTTGAAAATTGCTAAACAATGAATGATTTACTTAAAAACAAG